ATCTGTGTCTGTGAAGTCGACGGTGTCTTTGAGGTCTCCTTCAGAAATGGATTCTTCTGCACACGAATCTTCTATGTGCTCGTCTTCCACCCCCACTGAATCTGGTACCTCGGTGTCATTATTCGTTGATAGTGTTGTGTCGATGTTTTCCATTATCATCACATCTCGACTGGTCGTTACCTTTCTTGTAACCGGATTATAGCAACGATAGCCTTTAATACTGTCGTCATAACCCACTAGAATGTGCTTCACAGACTTGTGATCCCATTTCCTCCTGTTTGCTCTCGGGACGTGAACCATAACTACACTGCCATAAACACGCAAATGGGAAACGTTGGGTTTTTTGCCAGTCCAGATTTCATATGGTGTTTTTGAAATGCCTGCTGATATTGAGCGATTCTTCAGATAACAGGCTGTATTGCATGCTTCCGCCCACAAAGACTTGCTTACATTCTCGTCAAACATCAAACACTTGGCCTTTTCAACCAATGTTCGATTGAACCTTTCAGCCAATCCATTTTGCTCAGGAGTGTGACTGTTAGTTCTCTGGTGGATGATGCCAGCATCCTTGAGGTACGCCTGGAAATCCTTGCCGCAATACTCTCCTCCATTATCGGTTCTCAACACCTTGATTGTTACATTTTGTTGGTTCTCAACTAATGTCTTGAAATTCTTAAATTTTTCGAACGTCTCATCTTTGGTCTTCACAAAGTAAACAAAGCACATGCGGCTGTAGTCGTCGATAAATGTTAAAAAATATCGAGCACCTCCTAACGATACTGTCTCCATTGGACCACAAATGTCGCTGTGTATTACCTGCAGTACTCCATTTGCACGGGAACCTTTGTTAGGGAACGATGTTCGTGTTTGTTTGCCCTGACAACAAACTTGACAATTGCTTACATTAGCACGACCCTTATAAACAAGCCCTTCGACCAATTTACTTGTTTTATTTAAATAGGAGTTGTTGATGTGACCCAAGCGTCGGTGCCATACGTTACTGCTTGCCAATAAACAACCAGCACCATTATTGGGGACATTCAGCTTGTATACATTGTTGTTCAAGCTAGCCGTTGCCACCAAAATGCCCTTTGGATTGTACACTTCGCAACCATTGTTGTCGAAACATACCTGGTTACCATTACTGATGAGTTGTGACACGGACAATAAATTTGTCGTCAAACCCGGGACATATTGGACATTCTTCAATAAAACGCGATACTGAAGGTCAGCAGCCACAGTCTCAATTTCAACATCACCGGAACACTCAACAACAAGTCTCGATTGGTTAGCTGCAACAATGTCCGATAAATAAGGCTTACTTACATTCTTAAGCCATTCCTTATTCGCAGTCAAATGAATGCTAGCACCACTATCGATGTACCAGTCTGAAGTAGTAAACTGTTCGGTTGAAAAGACGGCACTAAAACCTCCTTCATTTTTGTTGTTGTTGTTGGGACATTTTGACATGTAATGTCCATTCTGCCTGCACTTAAAGCACACGATATTGTTCAAGTCCCTTTTGTTTTTGTTTACCGAAGCTGTTTGCGAATTGGTTGCAACATCAGCTGATTCTTTGGCACGCGACCACGAACCACTAGCGCCACCTTTCGATCCCTTACGGTGACTCGATCTGTAGTTTGTCTTGCTCGCTACTAAAGCACCACTGTTGTTACTGCTGCCATCTATCTGCATGTCTAATAGCTTGGTTTTAATGGAGTCCGTTGTTATGCTTATACCGGAATGCTCAACCGCCATTATCATGGGAGAATATTTCTCTGGTAATCCTGCTAATAACAAGGATCCCACCCACTCTTCATCAATACTGAAACCGGTACGGCGTAACTTCTGCGATGTTTCGACTATTTGATTTATGTAGGATTCCATCGAGTCGTGATTTTCCAGTCTAGCGGATATTAATGTACGCAGGAGCCCGATTTTCCGCATAAATCCATTGTCGTCGTACAATTTCTTTAAATTCGCCCACACTTCTTTAGCCGTTTTCGCCTCTTTCACGTGCGGAAACAAAGAAGGATCTATGGTTAGAATTAGTTTCGCCTTCGCCTTCATATTGAGAGTAGTATCTTCTTCAGTGCCATCCATGCATTTACTTAATCCTTCAAGTACAAACACATTTTCCACGGCAAAAGACCATTCGTCGTAGTTCTCGCGACCAAGAAGCTTTGGCACACTGGTCAAGTAGTTGACGGCCATTTTGTTGAACGACTACACTTAACGGATGTGTTATATGTTAAAACAAAAGGAAACGACATGTTTGTTTAACATAACTTTATTAACTGAACGCATGTACTTGCGTCTCCGTCCGACTCTCTCTGCCTTGTTGCCGGTTCTCCCCTTGTCACTTACTTAATCTATCACATCTCCCTTATCATAATAATTACATAACAATTACAGATTACATAAATAAAATATTACAAACAATTGTTTACAGTCATTTACAAACATAATTGCGTAAGTACATCGGTGGTCTTACTTGTCTAATTGGTCTTATTGTGCTCTGCTCATTTACCTCATCCCTACTTTCTGCAATTAATTGTTCACCTTCTCCTATCTCTATCAACTTCGATGTGTTAGACCAGAACTTTGGTTTATCAGAAAATGTAATTGGTATAATCTGTTGCTGAGTTCTCAAATTATTACTAGAATGTAATGGTTTGAGGAACCATGTATTTCGAAGTTTAATTCGACCATTTTGGTCTTTAATTTTAAACGATCTAGGATTGTCACCTAAGTTCACAATTTCTCCACGACACCACGTCTTACTTTTATCATTCTCTTTATACAACACCTTTTGACCTGGCACGAAATTGTGAGTTTGAGTCCTAGCGGTTCGGTCATAGTAAGCTTTCTTCGTAAGAGAGTTCTTAAGCAATTCGTCACGAAATTGAGAAACTACTTTGGGAGCCAATGACTCATTGGTAATTGGCAATTTAGTCCTACATAATCTACTAAACAGTAATTGCGCTGGTGAGTATGGTGTCCCTAAGACTGGAGTGTTACGATATTCCAGCATTATATTAAATATATCACCCTGGATATCGTCACATTTGTTTAACATTGCCCTACAAATGCCCACACCTCTTTCTGCGAGCCCATTACTTTGATGATAGTATGGGCTGGAGAATGTCAATTCAAATGACCAGTCTTGACTAAATTGTCTGAACTGTCTCGAGTTGAAAGGCATATTATCAGCATACAACTTGGAAGGTATACCATGCGTAGAAAATATGCTTTTCAGTACTTTAATTATTGAATCGGCAGTTTTTGATGATAGTCGTACAAGTTCTATCCATTTAGAAAATGTGTCTATCAATACTAAATAATCCTTGTTGCCATAATTCAAAATGTCACAAGCTACTATCTGGAACGGAAGATCTGGTTGACTTTTTAGCAACATTGGTTCTTTAACATTGTTTTTGGAGAACTTTTGACAAGTCTTACAATTGGTTATATACTCTTCAATGTCTGAGTTCATGTTGCGCCAATAAAACAAGTTTTTGGCCCGACCCTTGGTCTTTGTCATGCCTAAGTGACTTTCATGAAGCTTTGCCAGTATTTCCGGCTTTAATGCTAGCGGAACAACTAGTTTATTATCTTTATATACAATTGAATCTTGGACAGAAATATCCTGCTTAAAGTTGTACCAAAATTTTGCACTATCGTGTACTTTGCTTTTACAATTAGGCCAACCATTTTGGAAATAATTTGCCAAGTGTGCCAGAATTGAATCATTTCTTGTTTGCTCCTGAAATTTAGACTTCAAATCGTTTGAAATATTAACAGAATGGACAACATCGGCTAACGACGAATCAGTTTCACATCGCTCCGACTTTGAGCAAGCTCTGCTAAGAGCATCAGCTACATGCATTTTGCATCCGGGCAAGAATTTGACATCAATGTCATAAATTGTGAGTTTTAATCTAATCCTCTGAAGTCTTGTGGAGGGAATTTTGATTATCTCTTTTCTCATTAAAGAAATAAGTGGCAAGTGATCTGTGTAAACAGTGGTTTTTCTTCCATATATGAAGTTATGGAATTTTTTGCAAGCGAACAATATGGCAAGAAATTCCTTCTCAATTTGCCCATAATTTATTTCTATTTGAGATAAAGCTTTTGATGCGTAGTAAACGGGTTTGTTTTCCTGTAGGAGTACACATCCTATACCATTTTTACTAGCGTCTGTTTGTATAACTACAGGTTTGTTGTGATCAAAGTTTTGTAATACAGGCTGTTTGGTAATTATCATTTTTAATTTGTTGACAGTTTCAGTATGTAAATCTAGCCACGTAAATATTATGTTTTTCTTTAACAACTCTCTTAAAGGAGCTGTTATTTCTGCTAGGTCAGGAATAAAAGCTCTTAAGTAGTTAACTACACCCAGAAATCGCTGAAGCTCAATCTTATTAGTCGGCATATCATAATCACAAATACCTTTGATTACTTCGACATCAGGTCGCACAGTGCCCTTGCTGAATATGTGACCTAAGTATTTGACTTCATGCAACATATACTTAAATTTATTTAGGTTAAATTTTATATTAAATTTACTAGCTCTTTCAAAAACTGTATTTAGTGTAGCACAAACGTCTGTTTTGGATTGCCCAAATATTAAAATGTCATCAATATATATGAACACACCACTAATGTCACCAAATATTTCAGTTAAATACTTTTGAAACACTTCTGAGGCAATATTTAAGCCAAAGGGTAACCTTTTAAATTTATACATGCCATACATAGTGGAAAATGTACAATAATTGGAACTACAATCATCTAATGGTATATGCCAAAAGGAATCTTTTAGATCTAATACACAAAATAAATTGGCATCCTTAATTTTACATGATAATTCCCCTAGGGTTGGTATTCCATAATAGTCTTTAACAATTGCTTCATTTAGCTCACGGGGATCTAAACAAATGCGTATATCACCAGTCGGTTTTTCTACTACTACTAACCTATTTACCCATGCGGTTGGATTATCAACTTTACTTATTATATCTAGACTTACTAATTTTTGTAATTCAGCTTCTAACTGTGGTTGAATTTTGATCGGCACACGATGTGGTGGCTTTGAAGTAGGAATACTACCTTCCTTAAGCTTAATAGTATATGGTTTATTTATTTTACCTATACCTTCAAACAAGTCTTTATACTCACTAACAAAATCGTCCTTTAACATATGCACCTTGGCTTCATTCACATGGTGCCGCTTAACTAACTTAAACTTCACACAAGTGTCTCTGCTGAGAATTGGAATGGACTGTTCCTGACCTGCGACATAAAAACGTTCATAACTTGAATTTTTACCTATTTGTATTTTTAAAGATACGATTCCTTCAACATTAGTTTTGAAACCGTTCCAACTTTCTAGACGTGCTGTACAACCCTGTAGTCTTATTGATGGCGACATTTTCTTCAACTTCTTATATATGGGAACTGGTATGATGTTAACATCCGCACCTGGATCCAGCTTGAACATGACGTCCATTTTATTTTCAATGTTGACAGTTTCCATCCACGCCACAGAATCTACGTTGGCTTGAATAATGGAGCCACAAAAGTAATTCTCCTCGTCGTCCTCTAGGATGTTCTCATGAACTTGCTTGCGAGAGTACGTAGGGGTTTGCGTTGATCCTCGCGTTGATCGGCACATTTTTGCAAAATGGTTCCTTTTTTGGCATTTTGCACATGTCTTATTGGTCGCGGGACAATTTCCTACACTAAAATGAGTGAGACCACACTTATCACAAATGTCAGTCTTTTTGATAAAACTTGGCCTTGCTTTCGGTCTTGTTTGTTTCGTAACGGTAGAGTGGACATTAGGTTGTGTTGATAAGATATTTTGAACTTGTATATCCGTGATGTCTGCCAATCTTAGAGATTTTACCACCTCATCTAGCTTGGGGTTCCCTTCTTTGATTAATTTAGTTTTTGCATCTTGATTGGTTGACCCGAAAACAAGTTTGTCCCGAAGTATTTCGTCGGCATCACTATATTCGCAGGCTCCAATTAGTAACTTGACATCAGTATAGAACGAATTAAATTGCTCGCCTTCCTTTTGATTACGTTGATTGAATATAAAGCGTGAATGCAAGACATTTTTCTTAGGGTTGCAATATTCCTCTAGTTTGGCTAAAACATCTTTAAGTTCATTATTTGTAGTATTACCTTTGATCGTGTTGTAAACTTCCAAAGCTTCGTCACCAATTAAGTTTAGTAAGACTGCAATTTTGCGCTTATCAGGTTGTGTATCAAGTCCACTAGCCAAGAGGTATATGTCGAATGACTGGGCAAATCTTCTCCAATTTTCACTTAGATTTCCTTCCAAAACTAGTTTTGCTGGTACGTTGCACGAGACCGCCATTTTCTCATCAAGCGAGATAACAGTAGAGTAGGTAGCTTAATAAGCCCCAAAATGTTTAACCAGAGTGCCCTGACAATACGAATAATAAAACCACCAAATTTACTTCCGACTGCGCCATGTGTTATATGTTAAAACAAAAGGAAACGACATGTTTGTTTAACATAACTTTATTAACTGAACGCATGTACTTGCGTCTCCGTCCGACTCTCTCTGCCTTGTTGCCGGTTCTCCCCTTGTCACTTACTTAATCTATCACAACGGACACGACACTAAACTGCGTTTAATTTATATTACCCTATTATTTACGCGATTCTCCTATCTTCTATGACACTGGGCCCATAACCTATTATAATTTAGCTTCTGAAGCGGCAAAGAAGATGGGAATGCTGTTAATAGTTGCAGGAATAAAAGAGACGCGTGTTGCCCGAAGTACTGTATTTTACATACTTCACTAAAAGCAAGCGATGCGTAGGCAGCGCGTAACAAAAACAAGAAGAACAGATGTCGCTACTAGTGGGTGAATTTCTGATATTTACAACATTTACCAATGTCACAAATGCGGCCGGTAAAGTGAAATGTGCAGCTAGTAAAGTGACAAGCCGCAGGAAACGTAGACTGCTCTGCCTCCGTCATGGAAACTCAAATTTCCTGACAGAAAGTAGGCATGAAAATGAAGGTTTAAGGACGGTTTTGGAAAAAATTTAATACAAAGCTCGTCAGTAAAATGACACCTGACTCGGAAATTGAAGTACTCGGTCCCAAAGGGGCCTCGCACTTCAATATTTCCTCGCCAGTAATTAATCATTTTCCGGACTTTTACGTAAATAACTATTAAATGCATCTTAAAATCCCCTCAATTCCCTGGATGGCCTTGAAAGGAAATTCATGATTCAAATGGACGAATGGAAGTCCCTTAAAGCCTTTTAAGGACCTCTCAAGGGCTCAAGGCCAATAGAATCATGTTTCACCCTGGCCAAAAACATCCACCAGGTTTCAAAAAGTCATTTTTTTAGTACGTTTGTTCGTTGTTTCGAAGAAAATGCACTTTTAAGTGCAAATTTTGTGTACCCAAGCTAAAAACTTGAATTTGATTGTGTTTTTTGACGTATAGCCCAGACCTTCACTTTCGACTGAAGAATGTATGTGTAGTGTGGCCCAGAATCCAATAGGACACGTAGCGATTTGCTGCCCGATGGTCCGTTCAAAGAAACTATTAGGGTCTGGAGAAATACATGAGCCCTAGCACTGTCAATGTATTTGCCTCGGTATGAGTTTCCATCAGAGTTTCCTTTGATTTTTCCTCAATCTTATTTTGATGAATTGGCAACATCGAACACATGAGAACAGAACTAGTAGTCCCCGGTTCGGATTCGAGTTGAGGCTCTTAGAGGCTGCTTTTTCTTGTTTCATTTGAAGTGGGTGGGCTCTAGGAATGGCTTTTAAAGGCAATTAAAATTCCTAAAGGTTCTTCAAACAAGAGCACCAAAGTGTCTTTAAAAGTTCTCAGACACCCGTAAAAATGCACCTAAATCGCGTAAAAGTCCTTAAGGAACTATGCTTCTAAGGCCTAAAAAAGCTTTGAAGTGCGCGATCACTTTCAAGATAAGCCTCTTATGCATTCATAGAGCGTATTAGGGTTTTTGGGTGTTTTTTTAAAGGCCGGTAAAACTTCTTAAGGTTTTCCACATATACATATTCTGAAATACTCGTAAAGGTTTGAAAGTGTTTCTAACATCCTAGATCCTCGTAAAGACACCGCATGCGACGTCAAAGGACATCAAAGAGTTTGTAAAAGCCTTTGACAAGCTTCCAAAGGCTCCAATACTAATGAAGAGAGAAATAAGCTAAAATCTTGCGAGAGGATCATATAAAGCTATTGGTGTTCTAGGAAGCTCTTTGAGACTAATTCTTAATGCTCTACAACCTTATCTTTAAACGCGCTTTATGAATCATTAAAGCCTACCATACACCTCAAAAAACCTGTAATGGACTGTAAGAGTAACAAGACTTGAGATTGTTCCTTCATTGAGAGCCTTAAACAAATAAAATTCAAACATTCAGGTGTTCTCCAGTCATCTACAGTACAGTATTTAAGAACCCTATCAAGGCTTATGTATGTAAGGGCCTTTGTGAACATTTGAAAGGTCATTAGAACCCAGGCAGAGTAAAAATCTCACCAGACCATTACTTTGCCTAGGCTTGTGCCAAATTCGCCTTGACCTCCCTACCACATGGGCAGAGTACTACGCAGAGTAATGGTATGGTTAGGTAAGTCATACCTTTACTCTGCCCAGGTATCACTTTTGCATACTTTCGGCTTGTTTGGCACTAACGTAGGTCTCTTATTAAACTTCTACGTAAAAGTGAGTCTTAAAACCAGTGTCGAGCGGGTCGAAGGCGAGTTCGGCACAAACACTGGCAGAGTAAAGGTCTAATGTACTAAATCAGACCTTTACTCTACCTAGGTTTCACTATTGCATACCTTCTGCTCCCGCATTGAAATTGGCCTATTATTAAACTTACACATAAAAGTGAGTTTTCAAACTAGGCAGAGTAAAAGTATGAGGAGGGTAAGTCAGACCTCCACTCTGCCTAGGTTTGTGCCGAACTAGCCTTGGGTTCGCTGGCCACTGATTTTTAAACTATTACATCGAAACGCAGACTGTTGTTATTAACGTCTCATGGAGCCTCTTAAAGGTGCAGCTCATACCGCACGCGACATCAAAGGGCATCAAAAATTCTTAAAGCCCGTCAGCAGCCTTAGTAGTTAAAAAAACGTCCTTAAGACCTTCAGATTTGAACAATTCTTTAAAATACGTCTCTGAAGATAGAAACCCCTGCTAAATGTTTCAGAAATTACATGGTTGCCTTTGAAACGTTTCCAAAGTATTTTATAGGCTCGGAGGATATTGAAGGGAGAATCACAAAGGCACTAAAATCTTGAGAAAGGATCGTATTGGTGTTCGAGGATGCCCTTGCAGACTTTTAAAGACCTTTAGATGCACATTTAGAGCTTAATCTCATTTCAGGACCCGCAAAATTAACGAAGAAAGAAGACGTTAGTCTCCTGGGATCCAAGAAACATTCTCATCACTAACAAAACTACTTTGGGTAATCGCCTATTTGCAATCGATTCATTAATAGTTATAGAGGAGGTCCGAAGTCGACAGGATATGTAGGAGATGAATCAGGGCTCAAGGGATGAGTTTGTTCGAAGACGAACTCGTTTTTTGATTCCCACTTGCGAATTATCGTACGTGTTATATTCATATAATACATCTTTTATTAGTCAGGATATCAGAAAAGCTGGGAGGTATACAATAGCCTAAAAATTGTTCTACCAGGATCACAGGAACGCGGCCTGTACCCTATTGACAGAGACGTCTTCTTACTGTTCTTCTAGAATCATAGATGCGCAAGGATTTTTTAAAACATGCGCTTACGAGTTATGTTCTTTGATATAAATTTCTCTTGTATCAGGATGACATAAACCCAAGAAGGTGGATAATCCGAAATGTCAATTGCTCATTTCGAAAGCTGATTGACATGATGTAAGTAGCAGGGACGAATATCCAGATTTAATTGAGTGAACTCAAATTACCTTTTCAATTAAATTTATTTTCCAATGAAGAGGTCCCCCCGCTTTTTCAATTAGGTCCCTTTTCTAAGCGGAGTTTTTCGGCCGTTGGAATTAAATTTTCATAAATGGGACGACATACTGCGCCCTTAATTAAATCTTACACAATTACTCGCCACGTGAAGTTAATCACGAATTTAAGATCGGCCTGGTTTTTTTTCGCGTTTCATCCATATTGAAATCCGCTCACTCCACGTTTCATCAGTGTAAGGGTGCGTTTTTGAGAGAGGCGGCAGTGTCCTGCAAAAAAATGACGGGTGCCAGCTGTGAAAAGTTATGAGGTGGACCTTATGTTCTTACGTAAACTGTCGCTTTTGTTTTCGGAACGTAAACATGGAAAAATTTCGTCACACTGTTGACTGAATTGTTACACAGAGCACAAACACCATTGTTTGGTCACGGTGGATATCTCTTGCGCAAATACATGGTGTAATTTGTGGTTACCTCCACGTGTCCGTAACAAACCTCATCAGAAATGCAATTTTAAACTGGAAACTTTACGTGGGGGAGAGTGTTAATTGGTTTGTTAAATTTCTACGGATCAATTTCGCCAAATGCCTTGATTTCACTAGAGTTCGCTGTCACATTGTTTGAAATTTATGGCACTGAAGATATAACAAAAACAAGATGTTTTCGACGAAAACTTTTGTATATAAAGGCAAAAATGTTCTCAAAATTTAGTACCTACAGAAATGAACTACTTGGTATTCATCTTGTCTTTCGTGGCGTTCCAGGTGATTGGCAGCTCAGGTGAGTGATGGCTAACATTGTCAGTCTTGCGCTAATTTTGATCGTAACAGCTGCGAGTAACGCGGTGAAATTAAAAAAAACAATCGACTGCATCAACGAAAAAATGGCCAATCTTACCGCCCCTGAACAAGTGGCGTTTGCAGTGTTTATGAAGAGTGTACATAGTCTACTGAAGCCACTGCATCTGCAAGACGATCTTATGCACTGCTTAGAGGACTTGGGCGACCCACCGGTGGCCCTTGAGGCTGTACATACAGCGGAGTGTATTGGGAATATCATAGTGGATCTGGCGACGCCGACTCAGGATTTGCTATACGGAAGCATGAATGGACTCATGAAACTGTACATGAAAAATGTTCCTAGCTTGAAACACTGTTCCTAGCCCTTAATTATAGTATAAAACGTTGCTTTGGGGAATGTTGGGTATTGTACCATGTACACTAATAGTAAAGATGCCGTTAGTGCAGATAGTCTTTCCTTTACAAAAGAAATTCAATCGTTTTCCCAATTCCAGAACTGCGTGAGCTGGCTGAACTACGATCCTAATTGTTGTAACCGGGGTGTCACTACTTCTACCCGGTGTCCCCGAGATTCGAAAAATGATTTAACAATAGTATAATTCAAACTGTAAACGCTGCGGTGGTTCAACGGGAATTTTATCGCATTAATTGACAAAATGACAACGACCACGATATACAGGGAGTTAATTAATTGAGTGCCGATAATACAGGGGGTGAATCCTCGGGTGATTTTCAGGAGAAAGTTTAATATCAGCAATATGTTCTAAATTTAATAAATAAAATTGTCAGTTCAAACCCCGTACGGACGTCACTGGTGAAAATTTAAAGAAATCGTTTACGTCAAAAAATTCTCCTTAGTGATGAAAAGGTGTGTACAAAATTTCATTAAAATATCTAAGAGTGATAAAAATTACGATAACAAACTCACTTTTTCCTTAAAATTTTAACACTGTAGCTCAAAAACTAAGAGGTTTGGGACATATGTTGAAAATAAACTTTTTTCTTTAAAATCACCCGTGGATTCACACCCTGTATTATCGGCAATCAGTTAATTAACAATCTGTATGTTTGTTTTTTCAAATTTTCACTCAATTACCGTTACTAACGCTACTAAAAGGCTAGGAAGCTTTTAAAGACAATTAAAATTCTTAAAGGCTCTTCAAACAAGAGCATTAAAGCGTCTTTAAAAGTTCTCAAAAACCATCTAAATCGCGTCTAAGTCCTTAAGGAGCTAAGGCCTAAAAAAGCTTTAAAGTGTGTGGTTACTTTTAAGATAAGCCTCTCATACATTCATAAAGCGTATAATGGTTTTTGGGTGTTTTTTTAAAGGCCGGTAAAACCTCTTAAGGTTTTCCGCATATACATACATATTCTGAAAAACTCGTAAAGGTTTGAAAGTGTTTCTAAAACTTTGGATCCTCATAAAGCCACCGCATGCAACGTCAAAGGGCATCTAAGAGTTTGTAAAAACCTTTGAAAAGCTTCCAAAGGCTCCAATACTAATGAAGAGAAAATTACACACTAAAATCTTGCTATTGGTGTTCTAGGAAGTTCTTTGAGACTAATTCTTAATGCTCTACAGCCTTGTCTTAAAAGCGTTTTATGGATCATTAAAGCCCACCATACACCTCAAAAAGCCTGTAATAGACTGTAAGAGTAACTTGAGATTTTTCCTTCAATGAGAGCTACAGTACAGTATTTAAGAACCCTATCAAGACTTTAAAGTATGTAAGGGCGTTTATGAACATTTGAAAGATCATTATGAACCTAGGCAGAGTAAAAGTATCCCAACAGACCATTACGCTGCCTAGGTTTGTGCTGAATTCGCCTTGAACTCCCTACCACATGGGCAGAGTACTACGCAGAGTAATGGTATGGTGAAGTAAGTCACACCTTTACTCTGCCTAGGTGTCACTTTTGCACAGCTTCGGCTGGTTGGGCACTGAAATAGCCATGTTATTAAACTTTTACACAAAAGTGATATTTTTAAAACAAGTACCGAGCGAGCCGAAGGCGAGTTCGGCACAAACCTAGGCAGAGTAAAGGTATGACTTCAGACCACCACTCTGCCTAGGTTTGTGCCGAACTTGATTTGCGTTCGCTGTCACTTGGGCAGAGTACTACACATAGTAATGGTGTGGTGTAGTAAGTACCTTTACTCTACCTAGGTTTGCATACCTTCGGTTCGTTCGGCATTAAAATAGGTCCGTTATTAAACCTCCACGCACAGGTGAGTTTTAAAATTAGACCTAGGCAGAGTAAAGATCTAATGGATTAAGTTGTTGTTATTACCTTCCCTGGGAACCTCTTAAAGAATCACCTCATACCGCACCCGACATCAAAGGGCATCAAGAATTCTTAAAGCCCACCAGCAGTCTTAGTAGTTCAAAAAACGTCCTTCACGACCTTCAGATTTGAACAATTCTTTAAAATGCGTCTCTGAAGGTATAAACTCCTGCTAAAGTTTCAGAAATTACACGGTTGCCTTTAAAAAGGTTCCAAAGTATTTTATAGATTTTAAAGGCTTGGAGGATATAACCCATAAGAAGCTGTAACACCTCCAAGACGTTTCTCGCCCTAAACATTTCGCCCTCAAACTTTCGTCACAGAACTCAGAGCTTCCGACTTAAATTCTGTTTCGTTTGGATTTTTTGGTGAAACTCTAATTGAATTGAAATTTCCGGCCAACTCACGGTTCGGTTATAAAATGACGTAGATCATTCTAACCTCAATCTTTTAAAGCTCGTAACTCCACGTGAACACTAAAATAATTTACGAGCGCATCGTAAGCCCTTCCAGTCAGACGAAACCGAAAGGTAATTATATTTAGGACAGTGAATAACTACCTACTGTAGGTTGATGTTAGAATGGCGCTTAATAAATGATGGGAGAGGGTTAACTCCTTCCCCCGAAAATCGGAATCCGTCCCTTTTACGAACCCTCAACATATCGATTCACCCTAATTTCGAATTTGATCGTTATCTACTTGATGAGTTTCGTTTTATATTTATTGCTGTTGTTACCTCGAGGGACAAAACCGACGGCGAGCGGCGCGTTTCCCAGCGCGGTTTCGAAATTCGAGTTTTCCACCTCGCAGAGACAAACAAACGAAAGGGGTTTGAGGATTTATTAATCGAGGGCGAGCTTTTATGAAGCATTTGGGCAACTCCCATTGTCTCGCGCATATTTTATCAACCTCCACTCCCCTCTAGCACTATAGGAAAACAAATACGAAACGTTTTGTATCTACAACAATCGTGAAAAGCACTATTATATTATTGTTTTATTAAGTATTCATTTATGTATTCAGGTGGAAGTATATTATCAATGTGCTGTTGCTGTGTATGACTCTATTAAACGTGGAGGAAGACCTCACACCGCTTCGATTTTTCGCTGTATCACGTGGCTTCCGGGCGGTGCGTAAACAATACAAGAAGGGGAGTCCTAAAATTAACATTTTCTTCTGTCTATGTGATTCTGTTTGTGGGATAATCGACTTTAATAACATGAATACTGCTGGCATTTTCGCATGAACGTATTAAATTAATTATTGTACTAGAGCCATGCCCTTTTGGTGTTGTTTTTTATGCATATGCCAGAGCTGGGGGGGGGGGGATGTGTACGAAAATATACCTAGAAAAAGATACTTCTATGGTCCCCGAAAATCCCTTGAAAAGCAACAAAACAATGGGGAGAGTACCCAAGGGCTCCAAACGTTTTGCTGGTGGAAAGAGATAGAAGCAGGGGATGGAGTACTGAAAACGATTTTCGGGTGGAAAGCCACACAGGGGACCTGGAGGGTGGGCACAAGCCCCCTTAGGGAAACCAGCTTTCATAGAAGTTTATCGGTTACTATCGTGAAACTGAAGCCCCCCCTCCCTCCCCCCGGAAAGAAATTTGCATGTATTTGATGAAACTAGGGGCTGGAGGGTACGGAAGACTGACCTTTTTCAGAAAAATATCAATCTTTTGGGTGGTAGGGAGTAGAGGATGTGCTTGTGGGGAGAACTATCTTAAAGTGCTAAGGGCTACAAGCGTTAAGCGGGCGGAAAGCTCTACACAAAAATTGGGGCGATTGGAAAAGGGCGTCCGTAGCTATTATCGTGTGAGAACTGAAGGCTCAAAGCACTTTGAAGGCAAGGTAGGCCCATGTGCGAGAGGGAGGTACGAAATACTCTCAGGCGTTCTCTTGAGGTGGGTTTGAGGGGTTATTGAATACTACCCAGAACAAAAGCCTCCGTGCCTTTAGGTTCTAAACGAGGTACAACTAAGGGCTAGATTGGGGTAAAGGATTAGTTTTTGGTTTTCTCCCGAAAATCTAATTCTTTTGGGTGAGAACGTAGCAACAGGTTGTAGTGAGGGGGGGGGGGGGAATACTCTAAAAAAATGATTCTGTGGGTTTTTCCCGAAAATCTTAATCTTTTGGACCAGAATGTAGCACCGAGGATATGGAACACCCCCCCCCCAAACACACACCGAAGGTTCCGTAACTTTAGGCTAAGAGCTAGAGTGAGGTAGGGAATGATTCTGTAGTCTTTTGAACTAGAACGTGAATGCGGGGCTCTGAGGGTATGACATACCCCCCTCCCCCTCCGCCCCAGAGCGCACACAGAAGAGGTAGATTGGGGTACGAAATACGCTCAGAAAAATGATTCTTTGATTTTTTGCCTGAAAATATAAATTTTTGGGTCACTATATAACACGGAGGAGGGGGGGGGGAGGCAACAGGCATAGAAGTTTCCATGCCTTTAGCCTCTAAACACTTTATAAATCAAGACAGGGCTAGGCTAAAAGCTAGAGAGTGGTAGGGAATACACAAAAAATGGTTGCATGGGTTTTTACCGAAAATTTAAATCTTTAGGACCAGAACGTAGTACCGGGGGGTCTGGGGGATATGGAACGCCTGCCAGAATACACATAGAAGTTTCCTCGCCTTTAGGTTTTAAACACTTTAAAGAACAAGGTAGGACTAAGTGCTAGAGTGAGTACGGAATACAAAAAAAATGATTCTGTGGTTCTTTTTCCGAAAATCTAAATCTTTGGTCGGGCGGTATGGAATACCCCCCTGAGCATCACATAGAAGTTTCCCTGCATTTAGGTTCTTAACAGTTTAAAGGAAAACATAGGGCTAAGAACTAGAGTGGGGTAGGGAATACTCTAAAAAAAATGATTTCGTGGGTTTTTCCCGAAAATCTAAATCTTTTGGACCAGAATGCAGCACCGAGGGAAACGGGGAATATGGAACCCCCCCCCCCCCACCGCTCTCCCCAGAACACACACAGAAGGTTCCATAACTTTAGGCTCTAAACACTTTAAACGAGATAGGACTAGGAGCTACAGTGGGATGGGGAATTCTGTAAAAAAAAGATTTTGAGGTTTATTTTACAGAAAATCTAAATCTTTTGGATCAGAGCGTGAACGCGTGGTCTGAGGGTTTGGAATACCCCCCCCCCCCCGCACACACCGAGAATTTAAATCTTTAGGACCGGAACGTAGTATGGAGGTGTATGGAACGCCCCCCAGAACACACATAGAACATTCCACGTCTTTAGGTTCTAAGCACTTTAAAGAACAAGGTAGGGCTAAGTGTTAGAATGGGGTAGGGAATACACTAAAAAAATGATTGTTGTTTTTTTCCGAAAATCTAAATCTGTTGGACCAGAAGGTAGCAGCGGGGTGTCTGAGGGTATGGAATATCCCCCTAAACACGCAAAGAAATTTGCCTGCATTTAGGCTCTTAACAAGGGCGACATAGGGCTAAGCGCTAGAGTGGGGTAGGGAATATTGTAAAAAACGATTCTGTGGTTTTTTACCTAAAATCTAAATCTTTTATACCAGCAGACCGTACCCTGAGGGCATGGAATACCCACCAGAACACACAGAAGTTTCCGTGCTTTGGGATTGGATCACTTTCAAGGACGAGATAGGGCTAAGAGCTAAAGTGGGGCACGGAATACACTTAGACGAATGAATCTTTGGTTATTTTCCCGAAAATCTAAATCTTTTGGATAACAACTTAGAACTTGGGGCGTGGGGGTATGGGATGTGCCCAAGAACCGACACGGAAGTTTCCATGCCTTTAGGCTTTAAACACTTTAAAGGGAGATCTAGAACAAAGGACTACACTGGACTAAAAGAATACTTCTAGGTTTTTTTTCCCGAAATTTAAATCTTTTGGAGAGGGGATGGAATACATCCAGGAACGAATTTTCTAGGACTATAGACTCTCATGGAATACCCCTCATAAAAAATCTTCCATGCCTTTAGGCTCTAAAAATTTTTAGGAGAAACATAGCACCATGGGCTTGAGGGGATAATTCCAAAAAAACGAATCCAAGAAATAAGTTTTTATGCCCTTTGGAAAACTATCATTAGAGTACTATCGGCTGCTCTTAGAAAGGGAGTTTTTTTATTTTATTTATTTATTTATCTATTTTGGGGTTTCCCATTTTCATTTCAGGATTCCCCACTTTGAGATAACATGAAACCTCGTCATACGTCAATAAATTGTTCTTTAATATCTGTCCTAATGTTATACAAACCAGAAATTGTCCCTTTTAAATATTTGATTTGTACCACGACTGTCATAAAAATGTAAACTTCGGGTCACTGACTGTGCTGATATCCGATGACACATAATCAGCAGTATAATGATTGGGCAAGGTGCGCCGCTTTTCAAAAACAAAGATAACGATTTATGATATCATTTGTGAACAAGCTCTCTACTTAAAGCTGGTGGTACAGAACTACTTCCAATGTTGGTAAGTGCGGTTAGTCTTGTCTGTCCATCAATTTGAATGTTCGTAGATTACCATGGCTTTAACTGTCAAGCTGCTGCTTCTCATCGGAGCTGTCGCTGTTCAATCGGAGGAGTGCAGCTATCGAGCTCGAGACGAGTTAGTTTGTACGAACATCCATGCTTTGGAGCAACTAAGAAATGGTGACCAGAAGAACATTCTTAGCTTGGTTTTCTCAAAGAGCAACTTTGTTTCCCTCGACCAGAGCATTTTTCAGGGTTTCGAGCGTGTGAAATCAATCGCATTTGATTTGTGCAACATCACAGCTATTCCAAGTGGAAGCTTTAGGAACTTGCACAATTTGGAATCGTTACAATTTGGTCTTAGCAGACTAGATCAGATTGCAGATGATGCGTTCAGCGAAATGTTTACTTTGAGAAGGTTCATTGTTTCTGACACCCCAGTGAAAAGGATTCGGAAGGAGTGGTTCGTAGATATGCACGCGTTAACTGAGGTGAATTTCCAAAGCAATCGGTTGGAGGAAATTGATGACGGTGCCCTTGACAGCTCGCCAAACTTGGAAGAGCTGTACGTTTCTCGTAACAATCTTACAGAAATACCAAGAGCTCTGCTTCGAAAGCTACGGACGCTTGAAGCTATCCATTTTAACGGGAATCTCCTGGATCATTTGTATGAAGACGTTTTCGCTGGGCTTACAAGTTTGAAAACGCTCCATTTGGAGAATAATCGCCTGGAAACTTTACCAGCTTTACTCTTTAAAGACCAGAGCTCACTGAAAGACTTGCATTTGCAATCCAACCGCATCAAGGGCTTACGAGGTGACCTTTTCTCCAACGCGAAGAATCTTCAGGAGGTCTACCTCGCGGAAAACCAAATCGAATTTCTACCAAGCACGCTTTTTGAGAGTAATCACTTGTTGGAAACGCTCGACCTGTCCGATAATCAGCTGACGAGTTTGGAGGGTGGTTTATTTGTAAGTCTGAAGCGCGCGTACCTGGCGAGAAATCAGCTGTCTTCGTTTGCGTATGGTACCTTCTCCAAAGCAACGAAACTGATCCTACTGGATTTAGCGTCGAACCATTTCGAAAAAATCTCACCCGAAATGTTTCGCGGTCTGCCCGCACTAAAAACACTTCTACTGGCCTCCAATCGACTAACAGAAATCGCACCGTCTTCCTTCGACAACCTGACTCGACTAGACACACTAAACCTGGAGGGTAACAAGTTGAAATCGCTCCCGCAAAAACCCTTCGGCAAGAATTCCGCTTTGGAATTCCTGTTTCTTGCCGATAATGAGGTCGAGGAATTGCAAGTCGGAGTCTTCGACAGGCTGCCCAATTTGTTTCATTTGGATTTGGACAAGAATAGAATTCGAAGTTTCGAATCGGGACTGTTCAGACACCTGAAGCGTATGGAGCATCTCTACTTCAACGAAAATCAGTTGTCGACGATATCCGCCAAGACCTTTGAAGGGTTAACCTCCGTGAAACTCTTCCAAATTGCCAGAAATCCTGTTAAAAGCATAGACTGCGATTTCTTCCAGGAGTTACCGTCGCTACAATGGCTCTCCATTGAAGATGTGAAGATTGAAGGGTTTCCTTCTCGGTGCTTCTCCAATTTGAAACAGCTGAACCGCTTACAAATTACCGGATTGATGCTTAGGAAGCTGAGTGAGGCCACTTTCATCGGATTGGAGAAGTTGAGCTACCTAAACCTAACCGGGAATAGCATCGAGCGCATTGAAGCTAGCGCATTTGAGGGATTGGGTGGGTTGACAGAGCTACACTTGGATAAGAACCGTCTGTCGGACATCGGGGAGCGCACGTTCTTGGGGTTACAAAGGGTGGTCACGTTAACATTGTCGGACAACGCAATCACGAGCTTACCGCCGAAGGTTTTCGCCCCGCTAACCTCTCTAACAACCCTCAATTTGAACGGAAACAAGCTGGAAGCGCTAGAAAAGGGTTCCATTTCGTACATCACCAAGTTGGAATCGCTCAGCTTAGGGATGAATAAAATATCCGAAATCGGAACGGGTACGTTTGACGAGTTTGGCTTCTTGTCGACTTTGGATTTGTCGAACAACACCTTGAGACGTATCGACTCGGAAATGTTCCGCGGTCTGAAAAATCTTCGCGTTCTCCACTTGGAGCACAACGAAATTGCTAGCATAAACCTGGACGTCTTTGACTATCTTCCCAATCTGGAACACGTTGGCATCGCAGGAAACAAGCTCGATGCAAGGGTTGAGGAAGCAATTACGCAGACGTATCCGAGGGCGTTCTTTCCTAGATGACTTTTCGCTGAGCTAGAAGCTCTTGGGGACATTTGATTATCAGTTCAATAAATGGATATTCAAATAAACTACTCTGTTTGTAAATAAATTCAGATTCATTGAATTCAAAGTAGTAAACGCCAATTTCTTCCATTAGGGTTTATGATACTCAGATTCAGATTCATCAAGTTCAATAGAATCAGTGAGCTCAGTGATTCACCGGATTCAGATACCCAGAATCTTACTCTTTAGATCCATGTTAGGTGTATCCGCAGCCTTTTACTGGCGATTCCAACAAATCTTTAAAGGGTCTTCAGGGTCTTTACGGGTATTTGGTATCCGAAGCTTGACATCAGTATCTAGCTTTTGAAGGTTTTGAGGTTCTCTCTCTTCAAGAGCTTTTGTGTGTCTAGAAGTGCTTTTATTACTCTTAAAGGGTCCTTACGATTATTTTCCCCGTGCCTCTCCATTCCCTGACATCCCTTACCAACGTCGTTGTCCAGGATTTCCGCTTCTCTCTTCTCTCCAATCATACGCTCATCAGACCGTTTTGAGCATTATTCGACTGAGTGTCGCGCGCATAGGTACTTAAAGTGCTTAGATGCAGCTCAAGTTTTAGTCGAGTACGATTCCCAGCACCTTGATCGGATATCTAAAATTTGTTACGACCAGATTGGTTGGATTATTTAATAACTGTAAGTAATTAAGGTTGTTTAATATTTGTTTGTCGCCCGCCTGCGTGCGTGGTATGTGTAAAAACAAGAAAAATTGAAGAATTGTATGTTCTTAAAGATAATCATCTCTGGGCGAAGTACAGCTGTTGGTATTGCATGTATTTTAATATTGTCTAACTCATTGGTATTGGAATTTTTAGAAAAAAAAAAGTTTTTAATTAAGTTGCTTCAATTTTAGTAAAGAAAATCTCCCAATGAATGAGTTCAATTGGATGAATTTAAGAGATATTTTAGATACAGGGTGTTATTATATTCCATACTAAGTTAAGGGTAGTTCAATGGACCGTGGCCACGAAAATTAATGTAGTTGGCTCAACATTCCTAGCTAAAGCTGTAAATAGGAAAACATGGGAAGGGAAATATTTCATTATTAGATTTTTCAGTCATGGACGCATGACCACTTTGAGTTTAATTTTACAAGGAAACAATTTAAAAAATCAGTTTTTGAAGTCAATTTCCAGAAGCATAGAAATTTTCACCGTAAAATTTATGTTAAGTGAAAAAAAAGAGTTAATTTCAAAATAAACAAAACCAATTATGATTACAAATCAGATTCTAGCTTATAACTATTGGTTCTGGTTCTGGATACTTCTTCTTGATGGCGTCCATAACAGCTGCACCAAGTTTGTTGCCTTCCAAACGTACACGTGTCAATGCCGGTAGATTGTTGAACACGTCCGGACTCAAGTCGCTTATTTCATTATGCTCAAGGTTAAGGGAGTGCATCTTCGTAAGCCCCTGGAACATTTCCACGTTGACGTGCTTTAAGGTATTGTTGGACAAATCCAATTCCAGAAGCGAACCAAAACCGTCGAACGTGCCCGTTTTGACATCGCCAACTCCGTTTTCGTCCAACCTCAGGGATTCCAACTGCGGTATTATGGGTATAGAACCCTTTTGTAGCGTCCCCAGTTTGTTGAAGGCCAGATTTAGCGTCAAAAGTGAAGTTAGCGGCTTGAAGATGTCCGTTGGCAAGGTCTCGATGTCGTTCATAGCCAAGTCTAAGGCGGTCAGCTTGGGAGCGTTTGTAAATTCGTCGCCCTTAAGCTTTTGAAGCTTGTTTTGCCCCAAGTATAGCAACTGCAGATTTGGAAACAGCTTGAATATGCTTGGGTCGATTGACGCGATTTTGTTATCGCTCAACGAGAACATATTAACTTTTAACAGCCCGGTGAACATCTCACCTTTTACCTCTGAGAGCTGATTTTGATGCAAAAATAAGGCGGTGACTTCGTCCAATCCCTCAAACGTACCTGCTTCTATTTGGTAGATGTGGTTCTCCGACAAGTGGAGTCCTTTAACTTTTTCCAAACCGACGAACATCCCCTTATTCAACCGCTTCAGCTTGGATTTGCTTATGGTCAAATACTCTGCGTTCTTCAAGCTGGAAAAACATCCAGAAGGAAACTCCTCTACGTTCACATTCTGTATCATAATTGAATCCAAGGCTGGTAAGTCCTCAAGAGCCTCGCAGGCAATGCTTCCAATGGGATTATTTGAGATGAGAAGGTATGTCAGCGAACTTAGCCCTTCAAACATTTTCGGCGTTATGCTACTCAGGTAATTGTTGCTGAAGTACAAGGATTTGAGCTGCCTCAAGCCATTGAAGGTACCAGGTTCGAAATGCTTAATCTTATTGCTGTCTAAATCTAAGTGTACGAGATTAGACAAGTTGTCAAAAAATCCTTTTTCTAGATGGTCGATCTCATTCGCAGCGAGATAAAGCGACTCCAACTTCGCGTTCTTGTCGAAAACTCCAAGTGGAAGGGACTTGAGCTTATTTTTCTCGAGACTCAACGTGTCAAGTTCAATTAGACCATCGAACGAGGCGGGCTCAACTGTACTGACCTTGTTGGTGTGAAACACGACTTTTTTCAGTTCGCCAAGACCTGCGAACATTCCAGGTGTAATTCTCTCGATTTCGTTTTCTGTAAAATCGAGATGGGACAGTTTGGTACAGTCGGAGAAGGTACCATCTGAAATTGATGACAGCCCGTTCCTGGCTAAAACAAGTCGGTCAAGCTTCGCGAGCCCCGTGAATATCCCATCCAGGTTTCTCAGTTGATTATTCGAGAGATCGATGGTCTCCATTCTGGTAGTGTGTTTAAAAATGTCACTTGGGAGGCTGCCAAGCTTATTCGTGGAAAGGTAGAGATGCTGGAGGTTTTCTAATTTTGCAAACAAGCCACTGGGTATATCTTTTATGGCGTTATTCTCCAGGTGCAGCACGGTTAATGAGCTTAGGTCGAGGAAAATTTGTGGCGGCAGAGTCACCAAGCGATTGCTCTCCAGATGAAGTGCTTTGAGCTTAGATAACCCTTTGAAGGTGCCATCGTCTAAGTCGACCAAAGCGTTTTCGTTCAGGTAAACTGCTTCAAGCAATAATGACCTGGCAAGCAGATTTTTGGGTATTTTCGTAAGCTTGTTTCTATAAAGATGCAGCTCGATCAGATTTGGAGAGCTGTTAAAGGCACCTTCTTCAATTTCTCCCAACTTGTTATTGAAAAGGTAGAGTGTAACCAATCCGTGCATGTCAGTAAACGCGCCCTTGGATAAGCGTGACATCTCCGTTTCGAATATTAGAAACTTTTTCACATTGAACATGCGTTCAAACGCTTTATCTTCAATATTGTCTACTGTGCTAAAGCCAATACCGAATTCTTTCAAGTTTTGTAAATGTTGAAAGCTTCCATTAGGTATGTTTGTTATGTTGCTAGAAAGAAACTTTAAAAATTTTAAATGCTCGTAACCGTCAAAAGTGTTCGGCTCAAGAAATCCAATGTCACTCTTTGTCAACTCCAATCCAAGGAAATCCTCCATTGCAACTTTGTCTTTCTCAATGCATTCCTGAATTCCCTTCCTCAGCTGATCCAACGAAGATATTCCCTCGCAGGATATACCTCTCCAAAAGCGATATTTGCAGACATTCGATTGTACAGCGGTCAACCCAAAAAGAAACAATAGTTTTACGATTGGTCCCATGGTCAGCTAACTGAAAACATAAATTAGCTTCAGAATGCGATAGCAATGTTACCTTTCAGATATCGCCCACATTAACTTTGAGCACGGCACAGAATAACAGTCATGTGAATAAGGAAACTTACGAGGTTATCATACTCGGTAAGTTGGTGGTGCGTGTTTATATCGCGAACGTTAAGTAATGCTACACTTTGATCAAATAATCGCTTCATATAGAATAACATGTTTGTGTTAAAATGGACGCACACATTTTTAAACGGAATTTCTTTTACCTACATAAAATCCCGCGAACAGATTCAGGGTCTCACTATAAAAACCTTTTTTTTCGTTAATGATTCTTAAGCCATTGATTTTCCAAAGGTGTACTATATTGCTTTCAGAGTTTGCAACTAGCCCGAACTAGGGAGTAAGAGACCCAAAAAAGCGTCTTCTCACAGCACTGAGGACCGTCCCCTGGAGCTTTTTTGTTGTGTTGTTACCCATCCCCATCTCCACGCCCAGTCCAAGTATCCTAGGCTTCAATGGAAAAATCTCCCATTCAGATGTTCTTTGAAAACCACTTCCCAGAAGAAACCTGCATTAATCTGAGAATAACGATCATAGAAGGTTTTGGAAAGTAGAACATTGAAGAAGGTTCAAATTGCTCAGAGACCTTGACCTTGAGAAGCGGATCTAAAAAGCATTATAAGCTCAACCCAGACCCCTCCAAGGTGCCCTATGACGTAAGATCACCCTTTTCAAAGAAATCAAAGAAATTCCATTTAAAAACATGGGTCTAAACTGTATCACAAATATGTTAATCTGTGTAAGATAATTAGGTCATTACCTAACGTCCATTAACTTACGGAGCATGATAACCTCCTAAGCGTTATTATTTAAACGACTGTTATTCCGTTTCGTGCTCAAAGTTAATGTGGGCATCAACAACCGGTAGATAACGTTGCTATCGAATTCTGGAGCTAATTTTTTTTCTAGTTAGGTGACCATGAGACTAATCGTAAATCTGCTCTTTCTTGTTGGGTTGTCCACTGTACAATCGAATGTCTGCAACTATCGCTTTTGGAAAAGTATATCCTGCAAAGGTATAACTTCGTTGGATCAGCTAAAGAAGGGCATTCAGGAGTGCATTGAGCAAGACAAAGTTGCTATGGAGGATTTTATTGGGTTGGAGTTCGAAAAGAGTGACCTTGGATTTCTTGAGCCGAACATTTTTGAAGGTTACGAGCATTTAAAAGTTTTAAAGTTTCTTTTTAGCAACATAACGAATATACCTAATGGGAGCTTTAAACATTTAAAAAATTTGGAAGAGTTCCAAATTGGCTTTAGCACAGTAGACAACATTGAAGATAAAGCGTTTGAAGGCATGTTCAATGTTAAAAAATTTCTAATCTATGCAGTAAAAGTGTCGCGATTTGCCAAAGACGCGTTTACGGACATGCACGCTCTGGTCGAGCTCAACTTTCACAACAACGAGTTGGAAGAACTGGATGAAGGGGCCTTTGACAATTCTCCAAGTCTAGCCCAGCTGTATCTTTACGAAAACAAGCTTGCGAAAATTCCGAAAAATCTGTTTACAAAATTGGTATCACTGGAAACGGCTTATCTGAACGAGAATGCCTTCGTTGAGTTAGATGATGACATATTCAAAGGGTTATCTAAGCTCAAAACACTATATCTGGAGGGTAATCGCTTGGTGACGTTACCATCGCAGGTCTTCAACGATCAAAGCGCATTAATGGAGCTGCACTTGGAAAATAACGCTATCAAAGATATACCCAGCGACCTGTTTGCAAAATTAGAAACTCTTCACAGTCTCTATCTTTCCTCAAATAATCTTCATAGTCTCCCAAGCAACATTTTCAAACACACCACCGAGATAGAGACCATCGATCTTTCGGATAATCAGCTGACCGATTTGGATGGAGTATTTACGGTGCTTTCCAAGCTTAGCCGAGTTGTTTTAACAAAAAACAATGTGTCACTAATTTCCGACGGTACCTTCTACCGCTGTTCCATGCTCTCCGAACTCGATTTCACAGAAAACGAAATCGAGAGGATAACACCTGGAATGTTCGCAGGCCTAAGCGGATTGAAAAAGGTGGTGTTCCACACCAATAAGGTCAGTGTAGTTGAGCCCGCCTCGTTCGATAGTTTAACCGAACTTGAAACTTTGTCTTTCGAGAAAAATAAGCTCAAGTCACTGCCACGTGGAGTTTTCGACAAGAACGCTAAGTTAGAGTCGCTCTATCTTGGAGATAATGAAATAGACCATTTGGAAGGTGGAATCTTTGACAACTTGCACAAGTTGGTACGCCTACATTTAGACTACAACAAGATTAAGCATTTCGAATCTGGCACCTTCAAAAGTTTGAAGCTACTCAAATCCTTGTACTTCAACGACAATCAGCTGAGTAGCATAGAGCCGAAGATGTTTGAAGGATTAAGTTCCTTGACATACCTGCTCATCTCAAAGAATCCGATTGGGAGCATAGCCTGCGAGGCCTTTGAGGACTTGGCAGCCTTGGAATCAATTACTATAGAAAATGTTAAAGTAGAGGACTTTCCTTCGGGTTGCTTCTCCGGCTTGAGCAATTTAGAGTACTTTACGATTAGCAATTCAAAGCTAAAGCGGTTGAATAAAGGTATGTTCGCCGGTCTGGGCAAGATAAAGACCCTCATGTTGTCGGAGAACCAGATTCACCATATAGAAGTGGGGGCGTTTGAGGGATTGGACGAAGTCAACACCTTATCTTTGCATAAAAATCAGCTGTCAGAAGTCAAAGGAGAGATGTTCACCGGCCTGTCGAAGGTCGACATGCTTACTTTAAGCGATAACAAAATTGCCTCAATCGATCAAAGCATTTTCAAGCTGTTTCCAAACTTGCGCTTTCTCTACTTGGGGCAAAACAAGCTTCACACACTTAAAGGCGACGAATTTACAACCGCTCCCAAGTTGACCATCTTGGACCTGTACATGAATGACATCAAGAGTTTACCGGCTGACATCTTCAAAACCCTAACCTCACTGTCAACGCTAAATCTGGCCTTCAACAAACTAGGGACCTTAGAAAAAGGTTCGATACCCATCGTACCGCAGCTGGAGTACCTGAGGTTGGATGAAAACGAAATTAACGACATCAAACCGGGTACCTTCGACGGTTTTGGATCGCTTCTGGAATTGGATTTGTCCAACAACACCTTAAAGCATGTCAGTGGGGAAGTGTTCAAAGAGCTTACGAAGATGTACTCACTCGACCTTGAGCATAATGAAATAAGCGACTTGAACCCGGACTTCTTCGACAATCTACCCGCATTGACACGTGTACGTTTGGAAGGTAACAAACTTAGCTCCAACGTTATGGACGCCATCAGAAAGAAGTACCCAGAACCAGAGGTGATAATACAATACTAGACTCTGGTCTGTAATTATAACGTTCAATAAAAATGTTCTCAAACTATGGGATTTACTAAAAAAAATGTTTGCTATAGGTCCATTTAGTAGACTAAAATTGCTACAATTTGAGACCAGGTTCAATACCAGGCTCATTAGTTAGCAAGATACAGCCCTCGAAAAAGGATCCGTGAAGTTGGAGTGTCGACTTGAAAGAAATTAAGTTCCAAGTATCTAATAATTTTGTGCTAATTTGTGCTGCTAATTTAAAATTTTGTGCTCATCAGGTTAATGAGAAATTCAACTTTTTCTGATGATACTTCACAACTTCACGCTGTAGTATCAACAATGGTATTTTCAAAATTGTTTACTGCATTAATGTGGCGTCATTTTGTGTTAATTTGTTCTGTTAATTTAAAATTTTGTGCGAGACACGGTATCGATATTTCAAATTTTGTGGGATTTCATCAAATGTCGACATTTTAGATCATTGTAAGTAGGTAACTTTTAAAGAATAAAATTTTTTCGTTTGTATGTACGTACGTACGTACTTACTTATGTACAGTGTGGTCCTATTTCGATGGGAATGAAAACGGTTTAAGTAACCGTGACTTTTTTTCCTTTAATTTGTTGTAACTTCTTTATTTTTGAAGCTAGAACAAAATTGCTTTAGCATTATTCGGGCAGCTTTTAAGTCGTTTGTTTTTTAGTCCTTTTAGTAACTCATAGTTGATTTTTTGAATGGAAGTTACGGTTTTAGTTCACGCTAAATAGCTCTAACCAAGTTATTTTTTAAAAAAATTTTTGTATCTGAATTATTTTCACATAAGCTCCAAAAAAACCCAAAAAAAAGACGTAGGGGTTTGAAATTTGGAGGAAAAATAGCTTCTCTTATGATGAAAAAGGAAACAATTTTTTGGGCCGTTTCCGAGATCTTACGATTTCTGGAAAAACCACCTCTTTTTCAAGGGGATGAAAAATATATTTTTTTTTCATCGCACACAGTTGCTCCAGGTAGCAAAATTTCCGTAAGGACATATTTTAATAATCAAAAATAAAAAATATTATTCCAATAGACAAATTTCAAAAGAAGCGGCACAAAATGGGGGAACAGTTTTAAGATATAAACGGTTTTTGACATAGTAAATATTTTTTTTGTTTCCTAGTGCCCAACTGCCTTAATTAAAGCCATGAAATAAATTGACAAAAATTTGTCGACAGTTAGTGCTACGTTAGTGCTCTTTAGTGCTCGAAGCTTATCGTTAGTGCTGCAACATAATATGAGAAAAATTAAAAAAACCGGGGAGGGGCCAACTTCCCACTCGACATTTATTTAGCGCTATGTTAGTACTATTAAATGCCAGACAAACGGTCAAATTCTTTCGCTGTTCCTAAAAAAGTCAAGCGTGAAGTTAGCCCCGCCCATACATTTTTAATTAGATGAAACCACTATAATTGTTAGTGCTGTTTTGTTCTCAAATATTTCGATTTCAGCATTTCCCTGAGCATTTCATTTTGCAAGAAAAACGAAAAAAACTAAAGTACCTATTGTGTGAAGTTGGCCCCACCCATGACTCGTTATTAAATAAAACTAATACGATCGTTAGTGTTACATTAGTGCTCTTTTGTGCTCCAATATTGCGAGTCTAACATTCTACCTTTCCTAAGAAAAACAAAAAATATTGCATGCAGTTGCACCCTTGATTTGTTTAAAAAAAACAATACGATCGTTAGTGCTACGTTAGTGCTGTTTTGTCCTCAAAAATTACGATTCCAACGTTTTCTGTTTCCGAGAAAAACAAAAAAATAATAAGATAGTTGACCGAATTTATGACTGGTTTAAAAAAAACACACACACAATCAGCAGCGTCGGGTCACATTATAATTTTGGGTTGTAATTTATACTTTGTAATATCTTTTAAAGATATTCCGTTTTGGTTGGAGTCATCATTTGTGATTGGAAAATCGACAACAATATGTCCAAATTGCTCCCCTCCCTTCATAAATCCATGCTGTTTATCGAATATACAGGGTGAGTTTTTTCCGATGTTTAGTATGGGGATCTCATAAACCATAAGAGATGTAAGGTCGCGTAAATGAGCAAAGAATTGCAGGATTTTATGTAGATTTCAGAGTTTCTTGTAGCTCTACAACAACGAACTTATGGTCAAAAAACTGAAAAATGACTATTTTCATTTATTTTCAAAGATTTAAAAAAATAGTTTTAACAGACCTTTAGTAATTTTTTCTCAGCTTTATGATGGTCCTAGACTAGAATTTTTATCACTTGTGAGTTTTGAGTAAATTACATCACCTTTCTTATTTATTATGGACGACATCTTGAGTTTTTATGTCATTCGATAGAGAAAAAAACAAAAACAAAATCAGCAGCGTTACTAAACACTTGGTAAATGAATTTCCAAAAATTGTTTGTCATTATCTAATATTGACTACCATATCATATTATCCAATCGAAACTTGTTATTAATGGGATTTCATTGTTATAGTATTACGAAAGGGACAACGATTAGAATTGTATTGGTGGATCCATATTTGGGATGTTATGATTCAAATTATCGAGTATATATATATATATATATATATATATATATATAAAATATTTAGTTAAAAATTTTTTTGTAAAACAAATGTTTGTGTCCTTAGAAGTAAATATCATAAAATTGTAGCTATAATAGTTTTTCATTTTCTTGAAAGAGTACTGCCAAATTCACGGAGGTTTTCACCATCAAAGTTCATTTGGCGTCTTCTCCTTCCTCGGCAATTTAAAGCTTAGCGACGCTATGGCAAGCAAAACCGGAGCAAAATTTACAGAGTTCACGCAGGTACAGCCCCCCCCCCCGCTGCAGCCTTCCAAGGGACGCCACTTCGCTCATCATCGATGTTGAAATGATCCCCTCTTGTATCTTCTTCCATCCACATCGAGTGGCATGTTTTTCTACTCCCAAATACTTCTGAACTTGGTGGTAAGTTCGGTGAAATGTTGTTCCGGTGGTGGCAAACGGGCGAGGTATACCTTAGCAAAGGCGGCTGTTTTTACAAATAACTTATAGCTCAAACTGTTGAGGGTATCTTCAGTATATTTCTCCTCCATACTCCGGGAATTCTATTTTTTGGGAATGCGTTTGAATGCTCCATAAAGCATTTAACTGCTCTAGGAAACAAGATGGATTTAACAAGAGATGGTTACAGACATCCGGAAGATGCCTAAAATGCCCCAATGGGGAATCCTTTCAATGCCCTGGAAAGTACTTAAGAAACTATCACGGCCGTTCGTTGCTTTGTGGAACCTTCAATCTCCTCTGCGAACCTTGAAAGCAATAATATGCTCCTTGACCCTAGAGGTCACTCGGTCGAAGTTCCTAGCCTCGTATGTCTATAAAAAACAATTGGGTAGACCCTTGAAGCACCCTAGTGCCATACATTTACGAAGTGTCCTATGTAAGTCACTACAAAAAAATCAGAAAATACATTTGGTACAAGAGCAGTGCCCTTGAAGAAACCCGCTTGACATTCCTATCTTCATAATATATTGCTGTGTGCATTTGCTCGACAAAAAAGGACCATACACAAAAAAATGAATTCAAGCGAATAAAAAATGCCCTTAAATTTCTGGTCGCATACAAAACACCTCAAACCTCACTAGCTCTTTAATGAAATTCCTCTCATTACACCCAGGCACAAAAAAATTTCTGATTCCAAGCAAAATGGGTAAGATCAAGCTCCTTAAACTCCAAAAAGGTCACCCACCAAATTTTGAACGCACTTGAAATTAACTTTTGGCACGGCTCAGTAAGACTAATCGTAATTGAGCATGAGACATCTCTCTGAATCGTTAAAGGGATCGAATGAGCACACGACTTGCATGATTTTACATATACAAAATTTATTCTACGACCACAAATTAAATATTTAACAAAATGGGACTACTAATAAACAAACCCCGCATATACGTTCGATTACAATTTAAACAGAAATTTTAATATTACTTACAGTTTGCGAGTTACAAATCGCAATAAATCACAAAAAAACACTAATTCCGAACGGAAACTAGTCACATAGTCGACACGCGACGCACAAAACTTTGGGTTTGTTCAAACAGGTTGTAGAGACTTTGTTTATAGATTCATCTTACTAGAAAATCCCTCTGAAACACCATTGACACATTCAAGACCATTCAGCAAACCAGGTATCGTTTTTTATTGGAATCTATTTTGCATAGCATCTTCCAATCAACGTTTGAAGGTGGATTAATAGAAAAGTTCCTAAAAACTTCAATTACTGCACCAGTTGCATTTTGACCTTCCAAGCGCACCCCTTTCAGTATGGGAAGGCTAAGGAATCGCAAATTAGGAAGTAGATCAAATGCATCACTGTCAATCGTGGAAATATTGTTCCCAGTTAGAACGAGCGTATCAAGCTTGTCCAGACCGGCGAACATATCCCGCTTAATTTCCGACAGGCGGTTTTTGTGCAAAGACAGCGCTTGTAACCCTGCCAGTCCTTTAAAAGCGCCATCTTCTATGCGCGAAATGTTGTTGCCGACCAAGTGGAGAGACCTCAAATTCTCCATTCCAAAGAAACTCTCTTTCTTCAGCGCGCTTACCCCTGACCCCTCAATTCCGAAGTAGGTCACGTTCACCAAACTGGAAAAGCATCTGGATGGGAAATCGTTGACCCGGAGGTCTTCCATTTCGAACGACTTGAGCGATGATAGATCTTGAAACGCCTCGCAGTTTATGTGGTTAATCGGATTTTTTGAAATGAAGAGGTTGTCCAAAGGGAAACCCTCGAACATCTTTGCAGTAATGCTGTGCAGCTTATTTTCGTTGATTGACAGAAACTCGATCCGCTTTAACCCCTGGAAGATACGGGGTTGTAGGCTTCTGATTTGGTTCCGTTGCAAATACAATTTTCTCAAGTTGGTCAAGCTGTCAAAAATCCCCTCGCTCAGTTCAGCTATCTCATTCCTGCTGAGGTCTAGAAACTCCAGTTTTGCGTTTCTGTCAAAAACTCCACGAGGAAGCGACTCGAGTTTATTTTTCCCGAGATTTAGGGCGACGAGCTGAGTCAGTCCATCCAAAGATGAAGGTTCAATCTTGCTTAAGTTATTTGCACTGAATGAAACCTCTTTCAGTGAGTTTACACCCAAAAACACACCAGAGGTGATGGTCTCGATTCTGTTTGCAGCAAAATCGAGCTCTACGAGCCTTGGCAATCCCGAAAAGACGCCATCTGGTAGTGACGTAAGCTGGTTTCTTGCTAATGTAACCTGTTTGAGGTAGGGGAGACCTGAAAACGTATTACCATCCAGTTCCCTCAGCTGATTATCAGAAAGTTCGATGGTTTTTATCGCTAAATTATGCTTGAAGAGACTCCCCGGCAAACCTTCAATTTTATTCTTGAAGAGGTAGATCTTCTCAAGATTCTTCAAGCTTGCCAGTAGACCATCGGGTATTCCAGTTAATCTGTTACTTTCCAAATGCAATTCGGTTAGAGAACTTACCTCGTGGAAGAGTCCCGCGGGTAATTTGTCCAAGCGGTTGCCTCCCAGGTGGAGGGTTTTGAGCTTGGTCAATCCTTTAAATGCGTCATCGTGCAATGCATTCAATTCGTTCCCAGTGAGGTCAATGGTTTCCAAGGACAACAATTTTGCGAAGAGCTTTTTTGGAAGCTCTTCAAATTTGTTACGACATATGAGCAGTCTGTTCAAATTTGGAGAATTGTCAAAGGCGCCTTCTTCAATTTCCTCCAGCTTGTTATCATCAAAGTCCACTGTAAGCAAAGCGCTCATGTCAATAAAGGAATCTTTGGGGAAGCGTATCACTTCAGTGTCGTAAATTTGCATTCCTTGTAGACGGAACATCCCTTTAAAAGCCCCATCCTCGATGTATCCTATCGTACTCGATCCAATTTGAAGATCTTCCAATTTTTGTAAGTTTTTAAAGCTTCCACTAGGTATACTGGTGATGTTACTGTAACGAATCCGTAAGAATTGCAAGTGACCCAAATTGAGAAAGGCGTTCGGATCAAGAAATCCTATCGCACTGTGTTTGAACTCCAATCTGAAGATCCTTGTAATTGGTACACGATCAAATTCCACTCGTTCCCGAATGCCTTTTTCAAATTGTTCCAAAGAACTTATTCTGTTACACGATGTTATACTTGACAAGTCCAGGTTGCAGTCCCTTGATTGGACAGCGGTTAGTCCAATTATTAAAATCAATAATCTCATGCTGCTCTTTAAAAAATTGTAGAACGAATACTTGGTTACTTAGCAGTGCTGAACGCTCATTTAAGAAACGAATCTCAGTATGAACTGCAATGAACTCATCGAGGAGAAGATTAATCGAAAAGGTCACGATCTGAAGCTGCCGATAATGGGTCAAGTTCAAGTATTAGGGCAGATTAGGTCAGTACATTTAGAGCACCTACACTGATCGCTCCTTTTACTATTAACTAATATATTCCTGGGCGGAGGTAAGCAGCCTGCTGGTGTCTTTTTCACAGAGCCGTGAAAGATCAACCTCAAGGGAAGCTGGTAGTATTCGGCATTGAGGAAAACGATCAGGGTAACCTAATCGCCAGGGGGGGGGGGGAGGCCCAGTTATGGGTTTTCCTCTCTAAAGGTGAGGGTTAGTATCTATTTATCTATTTATCTATTTATCTATTTATCTATTTATCTATTTATCTATTTATCTATTTATCTATTTATCTATTTATCTATTTATCTATTTATCTATTTATCTATTTATCTATTTATTCTATTTATTTATCTATTTATCTATTTATTTATCTATTTATCTATTTATCTATTTATCTATTTATCTATTTATCTATTTATCTATTTATCTATTTATCTATTTATCTATTTATCTATTTATCTATTTATCTATTTTACTGTAAAATTACGTTTTTTTTAAAAAAAATGGTACGTTACATAAATTACATAAAATACATAAAAAACATAAACAATTGGTAATTTTACTCGTAATATTACGCACTTTAAAAAAAACGTGTAATTTAACATCAGTAGTTGTAAGTCTCAAGAATCCCTAAAGACCTTTTATGCCATGGTACTTTAACACTCATATAGCCCAATCAGGGTTTCCCATGGCTTTTAATATCCTTAGAACCTAAAGCATTTAATCACTTTTCTGGATTTTAGATTTCGATAGGACGATGGACAGGGTCCATGCGTACCTTTGTCTCAAATTCAGACCTTTGTACTACCTCCCTGACTAAAGTCGTCCGTCCCCTCAAAATCACTCAAGCCATTCCACACGTGAGATGAATCTAAGGGTGCTGGAAGGGGAGGCGGCTCTAATCGTAGCCGTACCACCAACATGAATCGTATGTCTTTGTAATCAAACCCTATTTAATATCAAATAAAGATCATACAAAAGTCAGGTTGCTTAGGTTTGGGGAAGAAACCTTCGCCTAGGATCTTGAATGCAGCGCACCGAACTCTCGTCTAAGTTTGACCTTCAACGTCAACATTGCGATCGAGTGATGGCGTAGCACAGAACTCACGTTTCACCTTAAGTGACGCTTTAGTCCAGAAAAACACCCCACCGTTTAACCTTCAGTGGGTTTTTAGTTTAGACAACAACCACGTTGACCTTTCAATGACAATAGTTCAGGAAAGAACCCTAGTTCGTTTGGACAGCAATCACGATCGAATTGATTTTAGACACGACTACGATGACCTTCAGTGAGTTGAGACAACAACCACAATGACCTTCAGTGGGTTTAGAAAACAACCATGCTTGGAGTTGGCGCTAGCATAACTCAAGGTCAAAGTGAGCTCATGTTGGTGTTACTTACCTACTAGGAACCGAAACAGTCCACACTGGGAGTATCCATAGATACAAAAGGGGCTTTTGACAAACCAGCCTTCGAAGCAATAGAAATGGCTGAATTTTAGAACAGTGCACATCAGGAATCACATTTGAGATGCCCCAACCTTAGCAAACAAGCTGCCAACCGAAATCTGATGGGATTACAGAAAAGGGAAAGAGAGCGAAGATGAGACGGATGGAATTTCTCGGAAGACCACATGTGTTTACCATTTCAAACACCTGCAGTCCAGTTTTTCCCTAGAAATGCGTGAAATGCAGGGAACGGGCGATTTTCGGGGTGGTTTTTGGGGGTGTTAAGAGATCAAGTTAGAGCGTGGCTTGGGGTAGTCAGTAAATACGATTTAACATGTGTGTTCCTGGCCTTTTTCTTGTAACCGGCTTAAGTGTAAAGTACGGCTTATCTTGAAATATTTTGTTATACCTTAATCATTGCTGTGTGCTTTTGGTTTTTATATCAGGTGAGGTATTTGCTTTATTCAATTAATCTATAAATGTGTGTAATTTGAATGCAGATTGTAACCCTTTACTTATGTACTTATTGGATTCAATCACTTGTACCTCTTAATGTGTAACCTTTGTTGGCATTGGCAATCATGTTTCATTGTCGGTAGGGCTGTATCTGTGCTGTACATACATGCATGTGTATTGTGCTTTTTAGTCGCTCTCGATTATTTCATTGCATTTCATTATATTTGCTTAATTGGGGCTGTGAGTAATCAAGAGGGAAGTATGCTTGTTTAGAGGGGATTCAAGTTATTCAAGTTTATACGGGCCTTGGTGAACCTAACACTAACATTTTCACTCCTTCCGAAACCCAACAACTTTAGCCCACGTCTACAGGCACCTCACTGGGCCTGGGTAATCCTACCGCCCGGCGAGGCATATTTAATATCTCTTAGTTTTGTCTGATGTATGTGTTGTAATACCTGGGGAATGGCTCGATTCCATTTTGGTTACTCATAGCGTGCATGTAGTATTTATCCCGGTTTCTAGAGGGCTAAAAAGTGCTGTACATTAGATGTTAGCTGTAGGTTTTGTTCATTATAGGACTACTCCGAATTAGGTTTTCCTGCAGTTTTCCTAATTCGTAAGGTAAATGCCGGAGTAGTATTATAGAACCGCTTAAGACCCTCTGCAGGGGCGCCGTATTGGTATTGGTTTCAATATAATCTTAATCAGCTATTGCTTTTGGTGATCCTTGCCCATAAAACGCCCTCAGTGCCTGCTTATTACACAACGTAGGTGTCCTACATGACGATCACGATTTTAGTGCACTCGGAGTGGCCCCTGAGAATATTCAAATAGGTAGCCATGTTAGTTTGGCGTTCCCGCTACTACGGAATATGGTCAAATATTCCGGCGTGACTTGAAGTTGGCGTTAGACCGCCAAGATAGTAGGAGGCTAAGATCATTACACACTTCACAAACCGAAGTAGCCCTACAATTGGGGACCATTACCGAAGGATGTTTTGTACAGCCAGTACACTGCCGTAATAAGACTGTGACGATTTTTTTTTCGTTTGATATTATCGATCTGGATTTAACCCTTGCTGGATGCGACGCTTTATTTTTATTTATTTTTATTTTTATTTTTTATTTTATTGCCTTTATTTTATAGTGGGCGACGTGTTAGCATCTAGGTAACTTCTTTGTAATTCACTAGTTTTATAGTTCCCTTGTGGTAGATTTCTTTGAATCGTTTTCCGTCTTCCGACGCGCGCACTCCTAGTACAAGACGCATTCTCGATTATTACTTGCAAGACGATACACGCCATTGCTTATTTGACAATTTGGGCGACTATTTTTGGGATATACTGGCGCTGTGTTAAATTGAGTGAAGTTTTCTTTCGTTATTCTACTTTCAAGCTTCGCTGACGCTATTTGCGGATTTATCTTTCAAGTTTTAAGGCCGTTTTGGGGTATGTAACAATTACGCATTAACATTCGCATTACAAGAAGTTCGTTAACCTAATTCGTTCTATCAAAATTGACCTGTTTCTAGATTTATACCTGGAGATGTACCCATATGCTCCGGAAATCCAATCGCAAGTAACTTTTACGAATCGTTTGAAGATTGTAACTGTGTAAATTGATCCGATACATCCGATTTCACTTACCCTACTTGCTTTGTTACGAAGGATATAACGTCCGACAAGTGAATTTGTTGTCGATCCCTTTTGTTATTCATTTCTGTTAGTTTTATTCCGATTAGGTGTGTTATTTAAGATATTAGATACCGTTGCTTTGTAAACACGTTTTGAAATTAACGATACTTGGTCCGAGACCAAAACCAACGATCTTTCAGTTACGGTTAGTTTTGCTTCAAATAATTTACTCAGACTAGTTCTTTTACATTGCTATTTAATAGCCAGAACCAAATTTTACTTTTGCTAGGTTAAAGCCATTCGAGTTATTGAGCCATTTTTTTGCAGTTCTCAGTATACGATTAGCCTCAGTGTCAGACATTACATTGCTATACGCGATATTTTGTGCAGTGCCTCTTGTTGTTTGTTGTGTTTTTGTCTGTTTACAGATTTGCAGTATACGAGCCCTTTTTGAGGTCAATAAGGCCGTTTCGACCTGTACTGTACTTCAAAGGAAATCTAAAATCCAGAAAAGTAATTAAATGCGTTAGGTTCTAAGAATTTTAAAAGCTATGGCCAATCCTGATTGGGCTACATGTATTAGTGTTAAAGTATCATGGCATAAAAGGTTTTTAGGGATTCTTGAGACTTACAGTTACAACTGAACCAAAACTTTACTTAAACCGGAGATGATTTTATGAGAGTCTAAAATCATTTCTATTTCTATCGAAAATGTCACATTTTTGGACTCTTTGAACCAATGGCTCTAGTCAAACTACCTATAGCGTATGGTTTAAAAGATAATTTTCCCACATCATTATAATAAACTTGAAAATTGATCGAAATTCAAGGAAAACAAAGAAATTGGGTCGGGGAACGCCGAGGGGAAGACTATTTACCAATGTCATCGGAAAATTTTTGAAACCAGGCGCTATTGATTTCATTCCCACACACGGGTATCGATTTGAAGATAATAAATCAAAATTAGCAATTGAGTGGTAAATAGGAGAGGAGAAAGTAAGAAAAGTAACATCTTGCACGCTGTTAACGGGAAAGAAATCGTACTAGATGGTTTATTGGTCATTTCCCAGAAACATTTTACATAGCATCAAGTCCTCGAAACAATGGGGTGCTTCTACCACGGCTGCACACAATGTTTTAAAAAGGATCATTGCTATAACCCGCATCTAATGTCGGCAACGAAACCAGCGAAATAAGGGAAAAATAAAAGTTTGTAATTATGGCAAATTCCCGTTCGGGCACCCCAAACCTTTACTCTCTTATGACTGT